GGAATTTGTCTTGAGATAAAAAAAATGGCCAAAAAATTGTTCATTATTAATTACTTTATCTTTATAGAAAGCTGTTATACTACCAAGAGCTAATTATGAATAAGTATTAAATTGTGTAAATACACCTTATCAACTAATAAACAGGACTGCTGAAAATATATCTATAACTCACTGACTCTTGAGAAAGAAGTGTCCGAGAAAGCGGAAGAAAAGTCAGTAGAGTGCTAAAAATTTCCAAATTACCTTGAGTGTAATTCAGCTTCGATAAATCTTTGAAATAGTCACAGTATTTAGCATTTGATAAAGCAATCAGAGGAAAAGTGTTTTCAAGTAACAACTGCACTGTAGAAACTGACCAGCAGGAGAGCTCCTTTCAATTAGTTATTCACTATAAATAAAATTTGTTCACTTTGTTTGATCAAAACGATGCTATAGTTGTTAGTTGTTCATTGCGCATCTTTTTAGAACGCAAAACTTGGTTGCCCGTTTTGATCAAACGACTCAGAACAGTAGTTGTCGTAGAAATAATTGTATACTTGTAATTTCAGTTTATTTGATAAAGGTAAGAAGAATTTTTTGAACGTCCTGCCACGCGAGTTTTTTATTTCAATTCTGCAAGTATAACAGTTTATTTCGTTCCAAAATACAATACATTTGGTGTTCAGCGAATTAAGGGAGTTGGTGAGCAAATGGAGGAACTGGTGTTATCAAAAGAAGCTTCAAAAGAAAAAGCAGAAGAGGAAGAAGCCTAGCTATTTGTTCTTCTCTTTTATACTCACCATTTTCTGCAAGATACTACAAAAAAAATAATTATACAATGAAATACGTTGTGATGTTGATATTAATTATACTGTGTTACTACATCAGCAGTTAGTTATAACCGACAAACTGTTTACCCCTTTCCCTGACAACCAGAGTTTATAAGCCCGGCTGCAGCTGCGTTAAAACAGTTGGCAGTCATCTCTGGCGATTCTAACTTTCATCAGGCGGTGAGCCCAATATCTTTTACAATAATCACGCTGGTCCACTGTAAGGGTTACATGCGTCCTTTCAAAGGCACATTCTCTTCACATTAAATCTTGCGATCGTTTACAGTTCAATCTTTTCTGTGTTTCCTTTGTTCTGTATCGTATCTCTTCGCTAATTTAGCGGCACCAGTCAATTTTATCTTCACCGATTTGCACTGATTTCACATTTGCAGATGAATACCAGTTATTGGAATAACCTATTGAACTTTTTTGGCAATGTTTCATACTGCGTTTAAAACAGGTAACAATCACAAAATGTTGAAGTAATGATTGAAAGATAAATAATTTAATCATTTATTCAACAATTAGCGTAAAACAAATCATTTGTTTAAAAAATGTCGTATCTTCTAAAAATCTTTTATCACTTAGTTTCAACTTGCGCACAACATTTTGCATTGCACTGCTCGCCAAATTATTTTTTTATTTTTTTTTTTCTGTTTATCTATAAATAGTTATTGAAAGTTTGATGAAAACAGGTTTTTTAGCGTTTTAAATTTGATCTTCTACCAGTTTTATACTTATTTATTCGTTTGCTCAAATATTTTTATTGTAGCTGCCAAAGAAAATAACAATTATTAATTGAAAATTTTGTCGTTTAGTAACATTTATATTCGCACGTGAATGATGTACACTGTTCTCGTTTTACATTCCAAAAGATTTTCTTTTTTTTCCTCCTGTTTTTATCCGTTCTTACAAAATCCGTCTTCTTATTCTAATACTTACTGTCTTTTCTTTCGACTTGTTGCCTATGAAGAGAGGAAGGAGATACTGGGGAGGAGAGGAACAGAACGAAGTGGCATAGGGAAACAAGGAGGAGAAGAGAAGTTGGAGAATGAGTATTACAGATAATCTTTCTTTTGGTTATTCACTGTTAATAGTTATGGGTGAAGCAGAAATCACTTTAGGAAATTTCTTTTTAAATTTTTTAAAAACCTACTTAGTTGCTTTTTTTAAAATAGTTTTTCCTTTTTCAGAATTTAGCAAAAGAAAATAAGTAAATAAAAAAAACTACTAAAAAATTCATTAGATTTAATTTTACAATATTTACACATTCTGCAGAACTCTGAAGTTCAAAAAATCTTTTTTTCCTTAAACCTTTGTGCAACTGTCTTATAAAAGCGATAACAGCGACAAGAACTGTTTTTTGTAAAGGCGAACATTTAAAATTTTTGAGAATACTACCACTTAAACAAATCTGCGGTTTATTTTCAGTATCTTTAATTATTCAAATTATTCTTTGTACTTGCAAACTGAACGTGTTTTTTAGTGTTATTCTCGACCGTTCGCTCAGTATTTTCAGAATATTTACAAATATCAGCATGAAGTATCATGCGGAATTTTTGTGCTTTTTTGGAATCTTAGCTCCAATATTTATTTTAATCTGCAAGACGATAAACCTTTCATTTGTTGGCTCACAGTTCAATACCTCATCAGGGCTTTCTAAGCAGGTAAGAAACTTTTGAAATATCTCTTGCCGATCTTTTTACAGCATTACTTTTTTAAAGAAATTTTGCTTAAACGTTTTCAAGCATATCTTCAAAAACCTCATAGAAAAAAATCCACGTATAAAAGAAACAAATATATTTTCATGAATTATTCATATTTGTAAGAAAAGAATTTGAAGAAAATGTAAACAGTGAAATGTCTGACAGCTTTTTTATTTCGAAATTTTTTTTAGAGGTTACTGCGACGTTGAAAACGCTAAATTATTGTGACTTATATCATACCTTAGAAATAGGTCTTCAACTGATGCTTTATACCGTTTAAAGTATAAGCAATAAAATTGAATTATCGGGGGTGATTTTGTTGTTTTTGTTTGTTTTTTTTTTTGTTTTAATCTGTTTTGGCGAGGTTGTGCTTTTAAATTTACATATTAAACTGAGGAAATTTACAAACTCTCTTAAACTAGCATTAATTGTTTCTATAAAATTTTGAGGATTGAAAAGATTTTCATTCAACGAATTTATAGTTCTTTTCTAGAAGCTTAATGGAAAGTATCTTTTTAGGAAGATCCAGTAATCTTGTTATGGACAAACCTTTATGCAAAAGCTCTACTTTCTTTCTTAAACAATAACAATCTTTGTCCAAACATGTGTTACTTGACAGATGACAGAAGGTAAGGTTGCACAGAATTTTTTTAAAGAATTTCTTAAAAGAGATTTCTGTATTGGTGGTTAGACTAACAGCAAAACTAAAATAATTTTTGACCAAATTTTAGTTACTTGGAAACTGCTGATGCAATTATTTTCCAACTTCCCGACATTAATTTCGACGACCTACCTTTAACTCGTTCATCGAATCAATATTACGTTTTTCTTTCTTACGAATCACCTCACTATTCTCGTAAAAAATTATTAACGAAAAAGTATGGTATTCAAAAATACAAAATTCCAAATAACTACTTTAATCTAACTCTAACATACAGGTAAGAATAAAGCTTTATGATAAAAAAATTGATTAAGATTTGTATGCAACGTTCTTCTTCTACTTTTATCATATTAGGTTATCTTTTTATTTTACGTATAAATTGCTCAAAATGCTGTAAGGCAATCAGATTTTTAAAAATGACAGATTTTGAAGAATGATTACTAAACTTTATTTTTCAAGAACAGATGGAGATATTTCTGCTGGGTATGGTAATATGATAAGA